TGTCCCTGTGTCACATGATCTGTTTTCCTTCCTATATTAACTATAGACATATTTTTATACTCTAAAAATATTTTTATACTCAATATAATTAACATTTGTTTCTAAAAATATTTTTATACTCTAAAAAGTTTTTATACTCTAAAATTTTTTTATACTCGATATAATTAACATTTGTTTCTAAAAATATTTTATAAAGACTAGAATAGACCTGGTCTACAATAACTTATTGTAGACCCAACCTTTTAGTATACCATACAAATGTGATTATATCATACGAAATGTGATTATATTATTGCAAAAGTGATTATATCATCTTGAAACTGTTATGTAAATATATCACTCAAAAAGTGAATTTATTATTATAAAAAGTATCAAATTAATAAATTACATCATTCAAAAGATGATTTTTAAATTTTATCATCCTAAAGATGATTATATAATATCATTAAATGGTTGATCTAAAAAAGTGATTATATCATCCAGAATGTGATTATATTATTTGAAAGTATCAAATTTTGGGTCTATAATAATTTATTGTAGACCGGGTCTATACAAGACCAATTGAACATATTTTTATACTCCAAACTCTCTTAATGTCTTAATTAAATTTTAGCTTCAAACGATAATGCATTAAGATAACACTAATAATGTTATAATTTTTTTTTTGTACTACAATACTAAACAAATTAAATACATACTATTACTTAAATCAAATTTACAATTCTTTAAAAAAAAAAACAAATTTAGATTGTATAAGTAATAAAATGTTAAGGTTGTTGGTAATAAAATATCATGTATATTAGAATGTTGATGGTATATTCTATATACATGTGTATGATACTAATATACTATAATCGTACAAAACCATAAAAATATTAATATGATGTTTCACAACTTGTACCACATCGATAAAATTATAATGAGGTAGAATAGAATGAGAGATGTATAACAGAATACTAATGGAGTAATGGTATTAGATTTTCTACAAAATTCCCACATTGAAGTTTTGGAAAAGTTGGGTGAGATGTTATAACATAACCCAGTATTGTCTAGATATTTAGTGTGGGCCCTCAAGTTGAACTCCAATTGAGCTTGAGACGAGCTCAAAATGAGCACGAGACGAGCTTCATTCGAGTTCGAGCTTGACTATTTAACTAACGAGTCGAGTTCGAGTCAAGCTTAGTGATACTCGAGCATACTCGAGCTTGACTTGCATCGCATCATAATCAGCCCTAAGCCCCTAACTATAATTGAAAGCACATATTAACCCCTTAAAAGAAAACAAATAAGAATGAAATTAGCAAGGGTATATTAATTTTGTTGGTTATCCTATCACTACTAGTACAATATTACGTTTATCCTCTTGCTACTGCAGTCCGTGTATATCTCTAAGTTATTTTTTTTAATTTATATTTTTTTAATCTCTTAGGGTCTATTCACATTTACTAAACTGAACTGAGTGTAGCTTAACTGAACTGAATTGATTGGAGCTGAACTGAAAATTTTATGTGAGAGGGAAATTAGAAGCTAATCTGAACTGAATTGAAATTAAATAAATGTGAACATCCAACACTATTTTATCCTCTTACATAGGGGTGGCAAACGGATCAGGTCGGGTCGGGTTCGTGTTCGGGTCACCTAGTTTCGGGTCAGGTGACCCTCAACCCGAACCTGATCCATTTAAGTTTTCGGGTTGAAAATCCCAACCCGAACCTGATATTTTCAGGTTCGGGTCAACCCGAAAATGACCTGATTCGACTTGTTTTTTTTTTCTGTTCGAATTTTTTTAACATGTTATACACAACATTCCTTGAATTCTTCTGGATCTATCAATCATAAAACCCAGAAAAATATTCAAACAAAAAACCCAGAAAACAATACAAACAAATCGCAAAAAAAAAACAAAAAAAACCAGAAAAAATATGTAAAAAAATCAGAATAACTAGATCGATGAAGAATAGGCGATTATCAGGAACAAAATGTATATACTTACATTATAATTTCATCAAAAAAAAATTATAATCAGAAATTTGAGAAAAATAAAACTAGATCTACAATCTAACCTAAATTTAAACTAGATCTAAAGTATAAAAAACCCCAACAATAGACGGTGACAGTGATGGTGGTCGGTCGGGCTTGTTGTGACAGTGACGGTGGCTAGCTTACTCACGTGACATTGTTGACTTGCTCGCATGAAGAGAGAGAAATAGGAGCTTTTAAGGATTATTCGAATATAAAGAACAAAATTCACAAAAATCAGAGAAGAGAAGTTCAAATTCGGATTTTCTGGATGAATTGAAGCATTCTAGAAGAAGATAGAGAAGGAGAAGAGAACGAATGAGAAGAGATAAGGAGAAGAGAATGGATGAAGAGGGATATAGAAGGAGGAGAATGAGTGAAGAGAGATAAGGAGAAGAAGGAAAGAGAAAATGTAGGTGACGGCTAGGGGTGAAAGTTCGGTGTTCGGTTTGGTTTTTGGCCCAAACCGAAACCGAACCACCTTAATTCGGTTTCTTGATTTTAGAAACCACACCGCACCACTTTACTTTAGAAACCGAACCATATTTATTTCGGTTTCAGAATAAAAAATCAAACCAAACCGATTTTTTTGGGCCTCTTTTATTTGGGCCAATAATCTGCAAATTGGGCCTCATTAATCAACACACTAAGTCACTATTCTCACTAACACAGCAAGCAGTGCAAATTAACAAATATAACAGCAAACAAATTTAGTCCAATTCATACAAAGTACAAAGTCTACAAACCAATCCAAATCATACAAACTTAAGTTTTCAGTTTAAATAACAAACTAACAAAGTATCAAATCAAACCAATCAATCCATACAAACTCAAATTAAACAAGTTTTTAACAGAACTACTTAAGTTAAACATAACATGATCAACATTCAACAACATTACAGCCAGCAGAACAGCAGAACAATAGCAGCAGCCAGCAGAATAGATCGATCCAGCAGGCAGCAAAGCAGTAGCAACAGAACAGCAGAACAGTAGCAACAGAACAGCAGAACAGTAGCAGCAGCCAGCAGAACAGCAACACAGTAGGCCAGTAGCAGCAGATCAACACAGCAGTGGCAGCAGATCAACACAGCAGTAGCATCACAGAGCAATCACTCAAGTATTTCGACCACTTCATCAATTTTAGCATCACCAATTGCCATATTCTTCACAAATTAAAATGTAGCAAGTAAAATCGCAAGTTAAAATCGCAAATTAAAATCGCAATTCACAATTGAACATGCAGTAGCAACGATTAGTATTTAGTACTTTAGTAGGAGAAGACAGGAGAGAGCAAGTAAGTAGAGCAACGATTAAAATCGCAAATTGAATTCGCAAATTGCATATTTCATACCTTAATTAGTAGGAGAAGACAGAAGAGAGAGAAGCAGGTGGACCGTTGACGGTGGTCGCCTGGTGCCCTGGTGTACTGGACGGTGGTCGGAGACTCAGAGGAGACAGTCAGACAGGAGAGAGGACGAAAGAGTGGAGAAAGGCTGAGAGGATTAGAGGAATTAGGGTTTTTTTATTTTTTCATTATATACCTAGGGTATTTAGTTTTGGGCCAGGCAGGGGTTTTGTAGGATTGGGCTTATAATTCAGTTTGGTTCGGTTTTGTTCGGTTTTTCAATTTCCCGAACCGAAACCGAACCGAAAACCGAAATTTTTTTATTTTTGACACCGAAACCGAACCACCCTCCCAAAAAACCGAACCACATTCCTTATTCGGTTTGGTTTTTCGATTCGGTTCGGTTTTACACCGATTCACTTTCACCCCTAGTGACGGCTTGTGAGGGTGAAAATGAGTTAGGGTTTATGCTTAAAGATTTGGGCTTGGGTTGGTAGTAGTCTTCTTTTTTTTTTTCTTTTTTTTCTTTTTTTTTTTTTTAAATTTTCTGGTTGAAATTTTCAACCTTAACCTAACCCATTTAATTTCGAGTCGGGTTCGTGTCAAAAAACCGAACCACATTCCTTATTCGGTTTGGTTTTTCGATTCGGTTCGGTTTTACACCGATTCACTTTCACCCCTAGTGACGGCTTGTGAGGGTGAAAATGAGTTAGGGTTTATGCTTAAAGATTTGGGCTTGGGTTGGTAGTAGTCTTCTTTTTTTTTCTTTTTTTTCTTTTTTTTTTTTTTTAAATTTTCTGGTTGAAATTTTCAACCTTAACCTAACCCATTTAATTTCGAGTCGGGTTCGTGTCAACCCATTTAAGTTTTCGGGTCAAAAATCTCAACCCAAACCCGCTATTTTCAGGTCGGGTTCGGGTCGGATTTTCGGGTCGGGTCAGTTTTTGCCACCCCTACTCTTACATGTTAATTGATATAGATATCCAACATATCACTACTACAGTACTACGTTTATCCTCTTGCATATCTCTTGTACACCAGGGGAGAGGTTGCTTTTTTCTAAACATCATCAAGGTAATAGTCCGTGTATCTCTATTTTTTTTTTTTTTGGTAAAAATAAATAAATATCTCTAAGTTGTTCGATGTAGATAACCGTGCATTTATGTATTTATCTTTTCTTAATACTTTGCTTATTAATTTATTTATTTTTTATTTTAATTTATTAAAATAATTTATGTACATACAGTTCATAATCCAACCAAAATTAGTTAAAAAGAATTTATTTCCAAATATCTGTTAAAAGAATTTATTTCCTAACTTTCTTCAAAAATTAAAAATTAAAAATTATTTGAAAGGATTTGTTTCCTAATTTTTGTTAAAAGGATTTATTTCCTAATATCTCTTAAAATAATTTATTTCCTATTTTCGAACACAATAATTTATCTCGTAATTTACAATGAAACGCGTTTATTTATTTTTGTTAAAAGGATTTGCTTGAAGGTCACGTTTTTTTTTAAATAAATAGTCAGAGTTGGGAAGTTTGAGACATTAGAAACTCACAAGTCCAAGAGTTCAACACAACACCGATAACTTTTTTTGAATTCAGTTTTTCACTCTTAAGGTTTATGGCTTGTAGGAAAAAAGTGAAGATGGAAGTTAACTGGGCAGACCTGCCGACTGATTTGGTGGTTCGTATAGTTGATAAACACATAGTATCATTTGTAGACGGTCTAGCCTTTTCCGGTGTGTGTCGTTCGTGGCGCAAAGCTTGTGATACAGTCAATTTGAAGCGGAAGTGGGATTGTCAAATGCCGTGGCTTATGTTAACTGATGGCAACCAGGATATCAACGAGGATGAATGGATACAGTATCTGGAACCTGATCGTTTAGAGAATGTGATTGAAGCAGAGAGTGTTGAAGACAAGTTTGATGATATTAATACTACTCGAGGCTTGTTGGATTTAACGCATGAGAAAGTTAGGTGTTACAATGTCAAGTGTGATCTATGAATTGTTGGGGATCATCTCATGGTTGGATACTAACTCATGGGATTGATGATAACATGTACTTATTTAACCCTCTTACCAAGGATCGCCTCGATCTCCCTTGTCGCCGTACAATCCCCTTCCTTTGGGATAATTCTGGTGAATTCCTTGGTGCATATTTCATAAACAGGGCTGTTGTACTTAAGGTGTCAGGTGATACTTTATTGGTGGTACTTATATATGATGCCTATCTTAGAGCTGCAATTGCCAAGCCCGGGGACACACAGTGGACACCAATTATATCTGAGAAAAGGGCTATTTACCGGAGGGTTATGGATGTATTATACCGTAGGGATAATCTTGGTACCGATGGACTTGTATTCGTGAATGAGAGTGGCAATATTGCACTGGTAAACCTTGATGATGTTCAGAATAAGAAACCTCTGGCATTAAGTTGGTACGGATGTTACGTACCGTATATACAAACCTACATAGTTAATTCTGGTCAGGATCTTCTGTTGGTATTGAGGATATTTGAGACGGAAACAAACGATGAAGGAAAGGTCAGAGAAGGTGAACATGATATTGATCATTACAAGACAGTTAATTTTAAGGTTTACAAGTTTCAGTTTGATGACAGGAGTTGGGAAGAGTTGAAAGATTTGCAAGATGTTGCTCTATTTGTGGGTAACAATGCAACTATGTCTGTTCGTGCAAGTGAGATGGGATGCCAACGCAATTGCATATACTTTACAGATACTTACACATTCGGTTCTAATGCCACCAAAGATAAACTTGCGGGACATGACTTTTGTGTTTTTCAAATGGGTGACAATATCATCCGACCATTGAAGCTGGAGAATAACACCCACTTACGCTCTTCCTATTGTTGTCCCATGTGTTTTCGTCCAGCAATTTAATTCTAAAATCGATTTTGTCTTCCAACTTGTTTATATTCTTGTAACACATACTCACGCAGCGTTATTTATTATTTATTGGTATCTAAAAGTACATAATATACTACTACTCTTGTCCGGAAAAAAAAAAAAAAAAAAAACAACTCAATTACTTGTTTTTGACCTACCTTACTCGTTTAACACTTTAACCCATGATCACTTACTAAGTTACTATTACAAAGGGTAAACATTCAACACCCACTTAAAGCACTAACCTTATCTACCTACGATAGCTAGCTGGAAAAGAGCCACACCCCATTGATATCCACTATCAACAAAAATATGTTGATATAATGGCATTGTTGTAATATTTGGGAAGTTTTTGCTGAATTCCACGTGCCCAATGTTGGGATGATGATGTGGACCCCGTATATCGAATTTTTTAATTAAATCTTGTAACGGGACATTGTTGACGGAGAGATTAACGCCATCACCTCCACTTTTTGTTGAGATACCAGATGGATGAGGAGAGAGATTAACGCCATCACATCCACTCGTGCTCACTCTTGCTCTGTATCATCGTCACAGCTCTAACAGAAAGTCCTTAATAAACATCAAACATGTCAAGTATTTGCTGAGTTAGAGTTGGGCAATAACAATTTCCTGTAGTGTATTGACTAATATATTAGAAAACCATTGTAGAATTGTTTACTCATGTAATCAATATTATACCCTCTAATTGATACGAATGGCCAAATCATCATTTTACCAACACCATAGGAATTACAGTTGATTTTACCCACACCACCAACATACGAGTTGGCCCTTGGTTTCGATTTTGTTAATTAGTGAACTGGAGAGCAACTTCAAAGTTATCGCCACTAGAATCGAATTTGAAAATTAGTGAACTGGAGAGCAAGAGAGTAAAACGCAGTGTTTGTCAAAAGGTCAACCACGATATTGACCGCAACAGCTAAACAGACGTTAGGAAAGTTCAATTGGTTTGCAACGGATGGCTTGCAACGGGGTGTTACTCACTTTCCAGTTTTGTTCTCACTTTAATGAGTGATAAGTCAGAAATGCCCTTATATCAACGCTGTTGGTTGATATAGGATATCAATATGTATTTACTGGAAAACCAACCAAAATCTTTCTTCACAACCTCACACAACTTATAGGTCCTTTCCCACAACTTTTGTCTTAAAAGGTCCTTATTCACAAAGACGACCTCTTAAAAGGTTTTTTTCCACAAATTTTCCTTATATACTCCCTCCGTTTTTAAATACTTGCTTCATTTCTCCATACGCGGAGTTTTAGGAGAAATTGGAGAAAGTAATAAAATATGGAGTTAGTGGGGTAGTTAATAAATAAAAAATTGTAAAAAGCAAAAGTAGTGGAAGAATAAGAGGAGAGTGAGTATTATCTACCGAGTGTGATAAATTAATTAAATATTGTAATAACTACTACGAGTACTAAAATAACAACCGCTGACATCATCAAACTCCAATATTGTACACATCATTTTCTTCACCTCATTTAATCTATTTATTTTTTTCCTTTAAAATTGGCTGATTCAGAGTGACAATTGAGCTCTTCCCAAATAATATTTTCAATGTCCATTCTTTCTTCCTACGTATTACACACAAGTAAGCTAAAAAAAATGTTAAACTTGTGCATCACACGAGACTAACATATAACTAATAACTACTACGAGTACTAAAATAACAACCGCTGACATCTCCAATATTGTACACATGTCAAGCTCTCTAACAAAATTTTTCGGCCTAAATTCACCTCATTTAATTTATTTATTTTTTCCTTTAAAATTGGCTGATTCTAACAAAAATTTTCGACCTAAATTCACCTCATTTAATTTATTTATTTTTTCCTTTAAAATTGGCTGATTCAGAGTGACAATTGAGCTCTTCCCAAATAATATTTTCAATGTCCCTTCTTTCTTTCTCCATTGTCAAAACATATTTCAAAACATATTCTATTGTATTTGTATGGCTTTCCTTCTACCTATTATTTTAAATTTTCTTTTTTATCTATATAGAAATCGTGCATCGCACGAGGATAATCTAATTACAAATAAATAATAACACATACAAGCTTAACCCAAAGAATAATTAGGAACAAACGAACATGATCAAATGGTCATAGAAGAACATGTTATTAAGTAAAAAAAAAAACATACTTTGTGTCATTAAAAAGAACAAAGAACATAATGATCAAAGTCTAAGGGCCTGTTCACATTTAGTGAACTGATCTGAATAGAACTGGACCGATTGAAGCTGAACTGAGCTAAACTGAATTGAATTGAGCTGAAGTGAATATTTTATGAGAGAAGGAAATTAGGAGCTGAACGGAACTGAGCTGAAATTAAGTAAATTTGACAGGCCCTAATAACATATTATGCTCACATTCTTTGTAAATATATGTTATTTTATTTCGTGTTCTTTATACATATGTGTCTTATTCTTTCAAATATATCATGCGCATGATGCATCCAACTGTACCCTAAAAATTCCATATTTTTCAAAATTATGTGCACTCCCTGATATAGTAATCCCTACTCCCTACTAATTACCAAAGGAGTATAAATAAAAATAAAAAATCAATAAATGTTTACAGAAAACGACGCCGTATGAAGCCCATGTTAAAAAAAAAAAAAAAAAAAAAAAAAAAAAAAAAACTTCCAAGATATCCTTGGTGGGCGAGCACAATCCTCTTCCCAAAATTTGGAGGAGAGAGAAACAGAAAATAGAAGTAGTCAAGGGTTTTCGGCTTTTGAACAACTTAACAACAACAACAACCAGTTTTCCAGAACAAGAAAAACTAAAAATGGAACAAGTTGCAGAGGGCGTTAACAATCTTAGCATTACAGATTCATCCAACAACAATGACAACAATTTCAACAACAACAACAACAACAACAAGAAAAACCGTATTCAAGTTTCCAACACCAAAAAACCTCTCTTTTTTTACGTCAATCTTGCCAAGGTATTTTCTTAAGAATACTTTTGATGGGGTTTTCTTTTTGTTTTTTTAATTAAGTTTTTCTGTTAATTATGCTATTTATTAGACTTTTTGATGGAATTTTATCTGGGGTTTTGTTAATTTTTAGTATAATTTTGTTAATTGTTCAAAGAAAAAAGGGAATATTTTGCTTCTTTTATTTTTCAGAATGTTGGTTTATATAATTATTTATAATAAAAAATGTTCATATCCAGATAAAGAAATGGGGTAAACATTCATAGGACATTTTAAATGGGTATATTTATAATAATTGCTCAGGAAATTTATTGTAGGAACAATGTTGTATGAGATGAATTTTGATTTTATTGCTATGAATAATTATTTGTGTGTAGATTAGCTTTAAATTTAGAATTCGGATTTTGCAATGTGACACTAACATTATTATAGTTTTTGGGCTATATAGCTGATCTATGTTAATTATGATGATGCATTCAACAGTGGATGATATTTTCATATCCGAGTGAAGGGAATTTGTTTTTGCTTAGAGTAGTTTTTGTAAATTTGATGCTCGTAGTATATTTGAGCTTGTTTGGTGTGGATTTATGTTGCTGTGTGTCAGGTTAGTTGACCTTTGTTACAATTTTTGAAGTAGTGGAAGTAATGTAGTTGATAATGTTTTTTTGTAGAGGTATATGCAACAACACAATGAGGTGGAGCTCTCTGCTCTTGGAATGGGTATGTATTTCGTAATCTTAAGCTTCAATTTTTTACCCTTTATTTGATCTTAAACAGTGTATGTTGCCTAGTGGTGCCTTATCTAACCCTACTTCTCCCATAGAAAAAATTGAAAGGATAAAGGGAAGAGAACAAGGAGAATTTTGCTTGGTAACATCTATCTATTTGCTTGTCTTGTTTCAAAGTTAGTTAGCCTCATGATGGTAATGGCTCGTATTTGATGAAACCCAGGATTGATGAGCAAAACAATATGTTACTCATGTAAACCTTAATTTTCTTCAGCTGTAATAAATGACTTAAATAGAAGGTTTATTCGCTAGACTTACAGGTGTATCAATATATGGTTTCCCTCAGCTGAGCTACCAAGGCCAGTTTAGTTATCCAAACTGGATTTTGTGAAAGGATCTTCTGATTAATGAGCTAGATTGCTTGGTAACGACTATGGTTGCATTATCTATAGTTTGTTGATTTAGTGGAAAGGAGTTATTTTTGATGATTATTCATTTATTAAGGCTATGTTTTCTTCTTCTTATTTAAGGTGTTATGATTTGAATTTTTTAAGATATGGTCTGAATCTTTCCTTTTTGGTCTGGTTTGAATCTCTTCAACTAGTCTGTTCAGGCCAATGTTTTGGGACTACCATGATAAAAATGTCAACAAAATCATCTCAATTAGTTTGAGATTTGACCAAAGCCTGCAGATCTCCCATATGCTCATTATAGTCATTAAAGTTTCTTTGTGTGTATTATCAGGTTTTCTTTAGTGACTTTATCTTGCTTTGGTATGTGTTGGACTTGTACTTCTTCGCAAAACAAACTTTTGCCGAATATTATCCCCCAGGTGGACTGTCTGCTAGATTAAAATTAGGTAGCTATAGCGTCGCCTTCAGCACAGATACCATATTTAGCCTAGTTTATCCAGACTAGATATGATTAGAATAGGTCAACTTTCCTAGTGGTTGGTGTTCTTTTCCCTGTGATAAATTACAGACGTGTCTGTGGCTGCTTCGTTTTTTATGGTGCTCCTCTTGATATAAAATTCCACTTCCATTTACAAACTCTTATCGGTGTTCTCCATAGTTTTAAGTTTTTGGTTTGCCTTTTGGGAAAGGGTTGTGTTGGTGAATGGTGAAAGATGAGTGTGATGATAGTTGTTGTACGTGTAAGAGCTTGTATAAGTAAATGATATCAAAGGCTCTTTAATATGTTGAACACTTGTGTCTTGCTTTTCCCTTGTTTATAAAGTGCGAAGAAAAAATTGCCTGCAGGAAAATGGGATTTAGGATTGCTCAGAGTTCTTGAAGCACTTGGTAGTTTGTTTCTAACCTGGCATCGCTGTAGTCAGATACTGTTATTATAAGACATCTCAAGTTAATTGAAATTTACACTGTATATTGTCAGCATAAATTGCTTAGTGCATCAACTTTATTATAATGTTAAACCCTGATTAGCTCCTTGTTGGTATTTGCCTACTTGGTGTTGTTCATTTGTTGCTTTTAAAGTTATATAGTAACTTTGTTGGCTTACTTCTCTATCAAACCTTTGTATCTAGAATTTTTTTGTCCTCTAATTGTCTATTTCAAACCAAATATTTGCTGGTGTCTGCAGCCATTGCAACAGTTGTCACAATCGCTGAAATTTTGAAGAACAATGGATTTGCTGTTGAGAAGAGTTAGTTTCTTTTTGTCTTTCATTTCTATTACTCTTATTTCTAAGTTGTGATTGTTCTTTGGAGCCTTCGGATGTTAATGCTCTATTATTTATTTCTTTTGATAGAAATAGCTACTTCAACAGTTGACATCAATGAATCAGGGGGACGACCTGTCCAAAAAGCTAAGGTATCTGGCTTTACACAATTCGGTAGCTGCATTTAATTTATTGTGGATTGTGGGCATGTGTTCATTTTTCTCTACCAGCCAACATGAATGGAACCAGATAAGGGCATTGTCTTTAGAGAGTGAACATTAGTATTCTAGTTGTCTAGAATTAGTTGCCACATGCTCCTTGCATGTGTAAATTACTCGTAAGAATATAAGATAAAGGCATGATTTTACTAAGCATAAACATGTTAGGAAATTCACATAAAGTTTTTAATTTTGAATGTAGGCTTACTTTTAATTCTGATTTGATTTCTTCTTTAGATTGAAATTGTGCTCGAGAAGTCAGAGAAATTCGATGAGTTGATGGCTGCTGCTGCAGCAGAGGCTGCCGAAGAAGAGGAGCAGGCATAAGGATGTCCAAACTGCAGTGCTCTATCAGTCATTTCAGTCTCTATTTATCTGTTTGCCACTGGTTTGTAAGGGACTCAAGGGTTGTCTTTTCTATAAAGTAAATTGTACTAACGGATTCAGCTACAAAGGCTTTCCCTATCAATTTTGTAACAACAAACAGTTCTATTTCTGGTTTCTTACATTGCAAATTGTGATTAATTCTTTATGGGCTTATAGGGTTACTGATTGATTGCTGACTTGCTGTGCTCAGCTGCTCACTATACTATACTGCTACTTTTTTTTTTCTTTTCTTTTTTTTTTTTTTTTGGCAAAATTGGCCACAACATCCTAAACTATGGCTTTAGGTGCAATGAGCACCCTGAACTTTTCATAATAGTCAAAACACCACAAACTATGATGTAAGGTGCGACGCGTGCCTTAAATGAAAAATTATGGCTGTTTATTTCACCGGAGGAGATGAATCCGCGTGTGCCAAGTGGATGAGATCAATTCACCATTTCTTTAAACTGCTATGGAGTGAAAATTCACTTCCTCTAGTGAAATAAGTTCTTGGAAATTTTCATTTAAGGCACCCGTCGCACCAAGACTATAGTTGGTGGTGTTTTGGCTACTACGCAAAGTTTAGGGTGCTCAGTGCACCTAAGCCATACTTCAAGGTGTTTTGGCCAATTTTGCCTTTTTTTTTTTTTTTTGAGTTCATATTATCGCATGGCAAGCTCTTAGTTGTATAATACAATTTCCACATTGACTCTTTTTCTTTGTCAGAAGACAGGGAGGGTAGTTTTTAAGTTGGTGTTGGCTACTACCAATGGGCTTACTCTTAAAATCCAAAGACTTACTCCTTAAAACCCAATGTTACCTAATACATTGCCGAAAAAGCAAAAACAAGCAAAAATATAAGTTATCATGGTATTGTTTGGGATACAATTAGGGGGGACTTTCAATGACACTTATGTACATAGTGGCAAAATGGATTTTGAGCGATGCAAGTCACAATTACATATGTTTTAATGCAGAAACTTAAATTGCCAGTTATGTAACTACTCAAAATTTCACTAATTAAACCACAAGATTAAACCTTCAGCATATTATTCCACTTCAATCATAATAGAAAAAGATAACAAAAAAGGGGGGAAAACTGTGATATCTCTAGAAAAAGTATAAGCTCCTATCGAGTGGCCATTTGAGTTGCCCCAAACAAAGGCCTTGTGACAAAAGTTGCAGAAGGTAAGTCGCCGCAAAGCTTCATGTGTCAATAAATTCCGTTGGTGAACTCTCCTATGCCTCATCTTCGTCTTCCACCAGTATCCTCTTGCATGCTTCGTAGCACATGAACGAAATCCCAGCAGCTGGCATCAATTTCACACAACTAGGGCCAAGACCTCTATAAAGACCTTGTACCCCTTCCTGTTCGAGGATAGTAGCCAACGCGTGCAACACATTATTGTATACCTTTCCACTTACAGCCCCTGCTTGCATATGCTTCCTGGCCACCTCAAGAGGGAAAGTTGCTGTACTGGAAATGGCACCTGCCAAAGAGCCAATCAGTAGGGTTTCTATATTGCCAATCTTCTCTTGCTTGAAGACTCTGCGATATGCTTTCCGCAGCGTGTCATAAGCACAATAGTTGGTTGCAGCGTACGGAATCACTCCAATTAAGCTTGGGGCAAGGCCTCTGTATAACTCAGAGGCACCTTCCTCACGTATGATCTTCACAAAAGCATCAATTATACCATTGTAGACACCCCTCTGTAAATTTTGCTCAAAAGATGATATAAATCATGTCATCAGTCGTGGGTGTATAATAATCTGGAAGAACAATTGTGGTAAGAAAATGGAAGCACCTGTATGGTTAAGCGGGTCTTCACCAACTCAAGAGGGTATGTCAATATGGTAGAGGAGACCCCAGCACAGGCCCCGGCAATGAGAGAAGGTGGAATAGGGACTTTAGCTTGTTCTCCTTGCTTTGCTGACAAGTACTTATTGACCGTGTCATATGTAAGGAGCTATACAGAAAAACAAGAATGAACATTATATTCATGAAACAGATTTTAATTGATTTGGCAAGAAAGAGAAAATCCGTGTAGCATAAGCTCAACACTCTTAACCAGCACTGTTCAAAACAAGCCAAAATACCCACCAACCCTAGCACCACACATATCCCACAAAAAAAGTGGGAAAAAATATCAACTACTGTCAATCAGAAAAATTCTCAATTACAACCTTGGGATGTTTCAATTTTGGATAGTCTAAAAGTTACGGTGTCATAAAGAAGCTCGTCTAGTATTAGGCTCACTAACAACAATGACAAACAAAACCCAATCAGAACTATAGAGCTACATCACACCAAATCTCAATGACCAAAATGTTAACAAGTCAGAGGACAAGATAGGTACTGCTCATAGTAAGCAAACTTATTTCAGCATTAATTATTATATCATTACACATACCAATACAAATATCATGTTGATCCATGATCAATACAGGCTTATAGAATAAAAGCTTTGTATGAGCTCAAACTAAAAATTAAGAAATCACCCACGTTAGAAGAGCTTTCGCAAACAGAGATAAAGTGCAAATGTGCATCATAGTACGATAGAATGAGGTTTTGTGTTGTGATTTGGACACATACATATTAGTTAACATAATAAAGGTATACCCCTCTTTTCCCATGTCAAATGCTTAGAGCAAGCAAACAGCTTTAAAAAGGAGGTTCACACAAAAACTATATAGCGTCCTGGGATCTAATCATCATTTGATCACAAAGAACAAGATAATTTATGAGAAAGCTGAGAAGCTCAAGCAGCATCATAAAACTCCCTAAAGGAGGCAATAAAACAAACACGATCATCAATCACAACTATAGAAAGTATCTGTCATTGATTAGCTATTTATTATCATTAATTCAATACTTAATCTTGATAAATTCAACTATAATCATAACAAGGGGGTAGATGTCAATGAACATATTTTAGTGAATTCTACAGTCTGATGAAATATCAGCAAAATGATCAAACAACATAAGGCAGCAGCAAAATTTACTCTCACACGACAACTACCCCAACTAATCCTCACAGGTATGTAATAAATTAATACAAAGTGCATGTTTAGTATGAATTTAGGAAAGGTAATAGACTTGAAACATATAAGAAGAAAGAGTACTGTTAAATGTTACTTTGTTAGTTGTTCAATACAACTCAGGACATGAAACCCCTTATTCAACTTGGGGGTTGAGGAAGGTATCAACTAAGTTACCATTGAGTAAGGGTAACGGATAATTGGTTCCATTTTTAGCACTTACAAACAATATATACCAATCATGCTCAATATACATCGAGACAAGAATCATACTGATGGCAATAGAAGAATACTCGTAGTATTTAAGTATATTTAAAAAATTAAACTAGCTAACATAGGCTAAACACTCATTAATAGTTGCACAACCTACTCTATTGCTCATTTTCATTTACAGAATATAATTCATAGTAGCTAATCAAACAATGAATCAAGATTACATAGATAATATACACATGCACCAAATAAGAGTATAAGGCAAACAAACAACATTATCAATTCAGCTAGGCCAAAAAACAGTGAAAGCAAGCACAATTGAAATCACAAAACAAATTAAAACAATTTAATAGAGAAAAATTAATGTTGTTATACCTCAATAGCCTTACTAGGAGCCACCCTAATAACATTAATCAAATTCCCCCTAAACAATCCAGTCCATCCATCACTCTTCATAATTTCCTGAAACACTTCAGTAGTAGAATGTCCACTACTCCCAACCATCAAATGAGTCCTAATAGTCTCCAATGGTGCCACAGCCGTCCTTGAAACCGCGCCGGCAATCGCCCCACTAATCAACCTCCTCAATGAAGGATTAGCAACCTTAATCTTCAATTTCAACCCATTTTTCTTCTTCCTACCCTTCTCCCCTTCCTCAACACCCTCAGGAATCCCAACAATTTTGAACCCTTCAGGAGATGATACATACTTTACATACAAATCCATCAATGGTACCTTAAAACCACCTTCATTGTCCTTAGGATTTGTGGGGTTTGGTGGTACCCCACCACCATATCCCACCTGCCCTACACTTGCAAATACCCCCCTTTTAAAGGGTTGGTGAGAACTCTCTTCTGGGATACTCCATTGAAGCCCTAAATTGCAATTGCTCAAAAACCCCTTTTCATTCCCATTACAAATTTGCAATCTATCCCAACCCATGAATATAATTTTATCAAAAAATAATATTTTTTAATTCAAATTTCCCCAATTTCAAAAATTTAATTTTGCTAGGGTTTCTGAATTGCCCAGAAGATGAAATTCACATGCAGTAACAAACAATGGAGGTTCTGCAAACCAATTAATCGATTTCTGGCAATTGGGTATGTTTCAAAATCGTATCTTTATGCAAAAATCACAGGAAAACGAGGGAAAAAAGGGGGTTAAATTCAATGATTTTCAAAAGGGTATGCAAAAATAGTTTTAATTTATGATATTTTTGATTGAATAAAAACTAAAATAAATCTACACCCGCCCACTTACCCACTCACAGAGAGAGAAAGAGGAGAGAGAAAGAGGGAGGGATTTGATATAGGTTGTCTGGTGGTGCAATTTTATATTTATACAATTTACATAGAAAACTTAGGTTTATTACTTTATTAATATTGCGTAACACCAAATAAGATTCTTCATCTACTAAATATTTTGACTAATATATTCAATTAAAGGAGTCACAATGAAGACGAAATTAGAGTGAGTCAGTTGGAGTGAGTCAGTGAGTGAGATAACTCGTGCAAGCGTCATTCATCGTCAAGATTCTACATGTGTACATTGATGACTTATGTTGGTACAAGTACGACACTTCCGTATTGTTTAACTACTCACGAGTGTTTTAGAATTTCAGACTAGTCAAAGTCTTCACCAAACTTACTTAAGAGCTGGTTTGGTTGAATATAGGAATTGCAAATTCCTTGGAAAAATTGATTTCCCATGAAATTGAACTTCCTAGGAAATTTTAAAAAGTGTTTGGTTAACTAAGGGAAGTGGAAATTCTAAAGGAAGTTCCACTTACCTAGGTCCCCCTAGGTAATTAACTTCTCCCATTTTGTGGGAAGTGGAAATTTATACTTCCATGAATTTGTCAACCAAACAACTTCAAAGAATTTCAATTCCTAGGATTTTCAACTTCCCATATTTTTTATTTGTCAACCAAATAACCCCAAATTCTATGTTTGTGTTTAGGAGTGTCAATTCGGATAATCTGATGAGATTTTGGGTGGGTGTCGAATATGTTCGGGTCAAGGTTACCCTTTTAACCATTTAACTCGTCTCGGGTTGGATAAATTTCGTGTCGGGTGAAGATCTATTGGGTCAGGGTCGGGTTTGGGTCAGATCCACTTAGATCGGTTCATATTTTGTTTGAATAAATTTATATTAGATTCAAAACAGATTTGATGGGTTAATTTTAAGTCGGATGACTATGGGACGTGATTATTTTGGTTTGGTTGAGTTCAATTCAATTATTTTATTTTATTTTTTTAAAGCAGAGTTCAATTCAACTTGACAGGCTTTGGAGTGGAGGGACAATGATTCGATCCTCACCCCACATCTCTTGTGATACGAGGGGCACCCACCGTATCTTACCGTGTAAAAAATGATTAGGCTTTGGTTGATTCAGTATAGGTCAATTTCAATTCATATCATTTTCGAATTTGGCTGAATTTGAGTCAGGTTGACCAAATTCAATATTCAAATAAGATCATTTTCTAAATAGAGTAATTATTGAGTTATTACCTTATTTTTTGGTCTATATCAGGTCATTCATATGTCAATTTTCATGTCGTGCGTCATTAATATTCGTGGAGAAATAGTTTTCCCTTTGGATCAGTACTTGTGACATTTTTTTTATCTTTAAGCCAAATTAAAATCAAATTATCGATGACTTATTATATTTGCATAAGTGAGACGATAAGTAATGAACTAATAGTAGATTGAGAGATGATTAGCTTAACAATGAATTTTCAATCCATGGCTTCCATACTCTTCAACATGGGGCTCCCATAAGTTTCTTTTGGGGTTTTTTAGTATGGTAATGGTCTCTTCCCTAAAATGGAGGCCAAAGGTACCCACGGTTAGGGTATCAAGTCACTTGTGAAGGTGACTCAACTTGTGCTGTCAAATCTTGGTCATCTTATTTTCCTACTCGTTAAACCTGTTTTTAAAAACACTGTTTATGTCTTTGTGAGCTTGAGTTAATGTATACTACCAATCGGATTTTTTTGCCCTTTCATTCCTTCCCCAATTCTAGAGGTAAAATGTCTCAATTTCATGCATACGTCCCTACTTTTTTAATGCCCTATTCTTTTTTACTACAGTCTAAAATGTCTCAGTTTCATGCACATCAATCAAAATGTATTAGTTTCATGCAAACGTCGTGTGCATATAGATCTATAATTGTATATTATAGTAGTTGCACACTTGCACATACAATTTCATACTCCATAACTTTATTGTAATAACGGAAAATGTTAGCTCATATGCATATAGCTAGTAAAACAATGGATAAACTTTAGGAGGATGTATACACTCTAGTCAAAGAATAAACAGATACAAGGAAAAAAACAGGTGATCATGTAACATTTTGAAGTAAAAAAGGTCAAATGGATGTTTGAGATTGCAATGTTCTTGTATGATTGTTCTCATGATGAATGATTGAATGGTTGTCTCTTGAAGTATGGATGCAAATCACGAACTCCATCCAGATACAAAGGGGTTTTCATTTCTATCAAGCGGGAGATCTATAAGGAAAGCATCGGGTTAAGCACAAATACTTCGAGCATTAATTAACAGCGACAAATTCTATATTTCCCATTGGCAGGGATATAAGAGAACTTCCCAATAAAACAGGAAGACAGAGATAGTAGAACGTGCAGTATCTGTTACAACAGAAGTATTTAGTCAGACATGTTTGGAAAGAACAATTTATACAACTAAAACAGCAAGATATTTCACTAAGAACATTGATATGTCCATTTTATATAATGTTTTACCCCCGTCCCTTGGTCGTTATTAGTAGTGTTTTTGGCTCTTTCGGGCCACTTTTATTACTAATTTGTGTTTTCTAGTGTTTTCGTAGTATTAGTTGTATTTTACAGGAAATTGCACTCTTGGAGCATTTTCTCGGGCTTTATGGATCAACTACGGAAGCTAGAAGGACACGACCACTTTTGGAGCCCAGGATCGGTGAGAGCCGGTGATTAAGGGCTCGGTAATTGGGATCCCTAGGTATTCGGACCGAGTGTTTAAGACCCGAAGAGGAAATCCGGATTGGGCCGAGAAATCAAGCCCAATCAAAGTCCGAGCCTCAAAATGGAGCAAGGGCCCGATCGGGCAACCTCTAGCACGATCGGGCGCGGCGCTCTAGTGCTGTGCGTGGCTTATGGCGCGCCCGATCGTGCGAATCTCTAGCACGATCGGGCGACGCTGATGGGAAGGAACTCGAAGAAAAAGGCGGGCTCGATCGGGCGGCCCTTCGCCCGATCGGGCGCGTGTTTTTTATAGGACCTGATTAGTTAGTTTTAATTTTTGTTTTAGAAAACGTTTTAAGTACGATTTTTGTACGAATTTTTAGATTACCTTCTTTCTTAGACTTTCTCTCTCTACTTAGAATTTTTCTCTCTCTTAATTTTTCTCTCAACTTTTGTTCTTAATTGTTCCCATTAATTCCAGATTTCTTTTTGGTAACAATTTCTTCCCTTTTAATTTCAGCTATTTTACTTGCTTCTTTGATTATGCTTTTATTTAATTATTTGATTAGTTTAGTTATGATGATGCGTGAATAGTTTCATTCTAGGGTTTATGGGGATCCATAATTAATATGAAGGGATAGTTTGTTATTATTGATGATTGATATTGCATGATAATTTCTTATTGAAATGTTTTAATTCTTTGCAATTAGATTATGAATCGAGCAGATGTAATTTGATTGTGAATGTTTAGCAATATTGAATTGATGAATCGAGCATATGTTAATTTAATATTAAAGGCTATTTTCAATAGGAACTTAGATCTAGTAAATTGCGAGAGCCTGTTAGATCTATGTTGATTAATAAATTGCGAGGGCCTGTTAATCATGTTATTTGTGCATTGTTAATTATTAATTACTACGTTCTATCCCGGAATATTAATTGTTGGTGAACCTGTGACCCTAGGCTTCCTTATTATTGTTTCTTTTCTCCCTAAACTTATTCTTCGTAGTATAGAATTTATTCCCAAAAATATTGGTTACTTAGATAATTTAGACTATAATAATTAATTAGGAGTAAAAAAATCTGTTTCCCTGTGGAGTTCGACCCTACTTCCCTATCTACTTTAGTTAGAGGACTTAGGTGATTATTTTTTATTAGGGGACACGACTTTACCCTGTCAAAATTTGGCGCCGTTGCCGGGGAAACGATTTTATTTTTGTTTTCTGATTATATTTTTGTAGTCTAGATTATCCCCTTTTTGCCTCAGAGAACGTTAGTTCTTTGAGGCAATTCTCATATTTGTCTTTAGTTCTTTGTTTATGCCCAGGTGTTCCAGATCAGGTTACATCCCTTTCGACCCTGAGATCGAGCGTTCTTTTCATAGGCAAAGGAAACTCTATAGACAAATTCTGGCGGGTTCTGAGGAGGACAACGGTCGAAGAGATCCTCCCTCTGATTCTAGTGACACAGATATTCCTTCAGATTCAGAATCAGAGATGACGGCCCAGAAGAAACTCAGTGACTACTCGCAACCGAAGCTCACAGATTTCCCGCACCTTACTCCCACTCCGGCTCTAGATGGAGTTCAATTTGAGATCAAGCCCCAATTTATCACTATGATAGAGAGGAAGCAATTCAGTGGAGCTAAGGGTGAAGATCCTAATCTTCACATCGTAGATTTCTGCCAATATTGTAACACCATTAGACAAGCCGGGGTCACGCAAGACCAAATCAGGGAGATTCTTTTTCCTTTTTCATTATGTGGCAAAGCAAAATTATGGTTTAATGGTTTGAATAGAACTGCACTTGGTATTACTGACTGGGAAACTCTTGCTTTGAATTTCTATAATAAAAACTATCCTGCAGAGAGAACAGCGATGCTAAGGAGTGCTATTCAGAACTTCGCTCAAGAAGCCGACGAAACGTTATATGAGGCTTGGGAAAGGTTCAAGGATCTACAGAGAGAGTGCCCCCACCACAATCTAGCACAATGGCAATTGATCCAAGCATTCTATAATGGACTTGGAAATTCTTCTAGATCAGTGCTAGATTCAGCAGCTAGTGGGAGATTCATGAATTTAAATGTGGATGATGCAGGACAGGTTATCGAAGACATGGCAATACACAATTCCCAATATGGGAATCCGAGAGGGTTTGCAAATAAAGGAAAACATAATGTCGATTCCGTATCCTTTTTGCAAGCTCAATTAACATCTATTTGTCAAAAATTAGATAATCTTACTGCTGCCCTTAACTCTGTAGCTAATGTTTCTGCTGTTCCTAACAATGAAGCTTTTTGTGAAAATTGTGGAATTGTAGGTCATTGGGAGCAAGATTGTAGGAGCTCTATGGAACAAGTTAATGCCTTTCAAACCTATAGGCAAAATAACCCCTATTCCAATTCCTACAATGCCGGTTATAAAAATCATCCTTATCTTTCGTACCGGAGCACCAATGTACAAAATCCTCCACCTGCACAACAACCACAACAGCAAACCCCACCACAGCAAAAATATTATCATCCTAATTCTGGTCAGAAAAGCCAAGCATCACCCTCATCATCTTCCGACCCTGCCATGACAGAAATTAGAGCAATACTTGCCAATACGCAAAAGCATATGGAGAGTAGGGATGCGCAAATTGATTCTATCCTAGCCCATAATAAAATCATGGACAATCAAATTGCACAACTTTCATCTACCCTACAATCCCGTCAGCAAGGAGCTCTACCATCACAACCTATCCATCCTACAGATCATGCCAATGCAATCACTCTAAGGAGTGGTTCACATTATGATGGACCTCCTATGCCAAAGGGTAAATTGCAGGATAAGGGAGGAGATGTGCAGAGCCCAGTTATCAAGCTTCCATTCCCTAATAGACATCTAAAGAGTAAGCTTGATAAACAATTCGGTAAGTTTTTAGAGGTTGTGAAAAACCTGCAGGTAACAGTTCCTTTTACCGACTTAATCACTCAAGTTCCTGCTTATGCTAAATTTATGAAAGACATTATGACTAGGAAAAGGGCCTTTAATGAAGTAGAAACTGTAGCTTTCACAGAGGAGTGTAGCGCTTTATTGCAAAACAAATCCCCTCCTAAATTAAAGGACCCCGGTAGTTTTTCTATCCCTTGTCGTATTGGGAATGTTTTTATCGATAAAACTTTGTGTGATTTGGGTGCTAGTGTCAGTGTCATGCCATCGCCTGTCTGCGCTAAACTTAATATGGGAGAATTAAAAGTTACTAATATAACTTTGCAAATGGCAGATCGTTCGGTAAATTACCCCTTAGGTATTTTAGAGGACGTACCTGTCAGAGTTGGTAAATTTTTTATTCCTGTTGATTTTGTTGTTTTAGACATGGCAGAGGACACACAAATACCCATTATATTAGGTAGGCCTTTCCTCCATACTGCAAGAGCGATTATTGACGTTAAAAATGGTAAACTAACCCTTTATGTAGGTGACGATAATGTTACTTTCAATTTAGGGAAGGTTTTGAAAGGGCCTATGCTAGAGGCACTAGTGGAAAAAAGGCCATCCGTAACGGGCAAAAAACTGTCCATCCGTAACGGGCAGCGTCCGTTACGTATGCGGCCGTTACGGATGGCTTTTGTTATTCGTAACGGGCACCGCCCATTACGAATATTAGGTTATTCGTAACGGGCTTTTCAAGTTCCCGTAACGAATAACGGAGTTATTTATAACGGGCTTCAGGTGCCCGTTTACGAATAACCCCGTTATTCGTAACAGGACATGGTTTGCCCGTTACGAATAATCTCGTTATTCCTAACGGGACATGGTTTGCCCGTTACGAATAATCTCGTTATTCCTAACGGGACATGGTTTGCCCGTTACGAATACTGTATATTTAAATTAAAAAAAAATCCAGCAAAATGCTTGATTTTGCACACCATTTTATCATTTTTTTCAAGTCATATATTTTTATACAATTAATATTTCTTTCAAAAAAATATATATATACAATTAATATTAATAAACTACTAACTAAAACTTTAAAAGAACAGCTAAATTAAACCAAATTTCAAGTACACTTGTTTTCCTGGTTTCAAAAAACAAAAAATAATAATTACACCGTTCTCCTCTTATTTGCCATTGTACAGTTTAGCTACCTTCAACCAAACTTAAATCCACCAGAAGGGCCTTATTAGCTTTCATAGCGGTTGATTTGTCCAGCAAAGTCCCATCCAAATGAACTGGGAATAACAGGTACGCTTCATGTTTCCAAGATTGCTCTTGAGTGGCCTAATTAATGCAAACATTAATTTAAAAGATACTTTTAGATAATAATATACAGATGCACAATATACAAAATTGAGAGACCACTACACTGCTACAAGGTTGTAATCATGATCAACAACTTTACTATACAACAACCAAGAACAAGAACAAGAAGAGAAAGCTGATGAAAATGCAATTGTTTGCATATCAAAAAAGACTATAAAGCTCCGAAAATTCCAAATGGGTCTGTTTCCTTTCTTTAAACTTAATTCTCATAGGATAGACTTAATATCTCACAAGTTACTCAGATTAGCCATCATCAAGTGAACATAATAGTCGTACAATTAAAACTTTAATAATTCACACAAAATTATGCCAACTAAATAAGCAATCACTTAAGTTTGAATTCTCAAGCATATCAACATGCACTAGATAAAGATAGAGATATCCTTTTGAATTTATGAAACAACACTAGATTAAAACAACTTCCAGGAAGTATTGAAAAAGCCTTACACTGATATTTATAATTAATTGTGGATTCAAAATTATTGATTTATTTATGTACATGCATACATGCTTTCAAGTTTCAACACCTTGTAATCCGGATTTATAACATACATAAAGCTCGGGGAGGGGAAAAGAGAAGGAACTAAACACAGTCAATTACCTTGACTTTGATGATAGCATGATCAAGAAGGGGAATCAGATTGGGATGTGTAAACAGGGCGGAAACTCGGATCACCTCCCTGACCAAGTCCAGCTGCTCATTGTTTTGAATCAATACTTTCTTCATAGCATAAGTCCCATCATCTAAAAAAAGGTTCATTTTGAATTTACATCACACATTATTAACCATATTAAGATCAAAATTCCTCATAAGTCATAAACCCACAAAACAAAATTCAAATCAATCAAAAAATCACATAATTACCCCCAAAATCACGTAATTACACCCCTTGTTTGAAGCAAGCTCTCGGTGTCAAGCTTTCCCTTGTGCCTACTCTTTGGATCAACAACATGTGCCTGAAAATATAGTGTTACCAGTCATGTCAATGTGAGATTAATATACTACAAACTATTTAAACTTCTATGTTCTAACTCCATGTTGTTAGACACGGTGCAGTGCACATCACATATGCAACTCTGTAATTATAGTCATTGGATTACCTCACAGTATGGTAAGAGGTCTGATTTGAGATAAACACCAGCGGACGAGCAGTAAATATATCTGGTAAGTACAAGAATGGATTGTAAGTCACTTTCTGAATTTAAAATATCAAGACAGACTTATCCTTATTGGACTGTCTGAATCTATCTGCCTGACTCCTAAAGAAACACAGTTTAGAAGACTAGGCTTACTACTCTAATTTTGGAAGTGCATCCAATATTGGTTCTACCTCAACTGCCTCTCTTCCTGTAATGAGACAATACATATGTAAATATCCAATTATGCATCAAGTTGTGAAGTGTGTAATCGCGACATACATATAAAACTTACCATTTATGTCGTAAACAACATCATTGCAGATTATAGATTACAGATAAAACACAAATCAATTGACCAAGAATCATTGCAGCCTCCAACTATTATTTTGACATTATAATTATTTTCATAAGCTTCCAACACCACCGGCTACAAAATCATTATCACTAATCATTGCAGTCTCCAACTATTATTTTTTATAATTATTGTAACACAGCAATCCAACTTTAGCAAACCATTAAAACACTAATCAAACATTATCTCTTACAGAATCATTATCTCTCTTCAATTGGGCGCGTTTCAACTAGAATACCTAAACATTCAACCAGCTACTAGTATCGGCATTTTGATCACTACCCAAATTAAATCACAAAATTTGCAGCTAAACCCTAATTCAATTGCTTAACAAAAATTAGCAATAATACTAAGAAATTAATGATATGAACAAGAATAAACTTACAGAAGCACATGAAGATAACATACTGAATGAATCACCCCAAATGAATCATACATAAATGCCCAAAACTACCCAATGTCACCCCAAATGCCAAAAATGAATCAAATACAAATTGCATGTAGAAAAAAATAAAGCAAATTAGAATACACAAGAACAAATTCAAGAATTTAAACAATTAGATGCTCAGAAATCAATTCAAGAAAAGGAAAAAAATAATTGATGAAGGACTTCTTACCTCACGATCTAAAATGGCAAAGATATCCCAAATTATCTAAGAATTGTTCTTCAGTAGTTAGGTTTGACCCTAACTCGTCCCTTGACTCGCCGATTAGCTCCACTGAGACTGAACGTGGTGACAACAACAATGACGAGAAGCTTAATAATTTCTTGGCCGAGTTCTTATCCGAGTTGACTCGCCACCTCGCTAAGTCAATAAACTCATAGATCTGAGAAAGAAAAACTAAATTGCTCAGATTTATGAGTTCTCTACGACACCGCCGGTTACACCTCCGGTAATATGTTAATAATCTCTTCTAATTCGTTCTACAAAATCAACTCATAGATCTGAGAAAGAAAAACTAAATTGATCGTCACCGCCGGTTACACCTCCGCCGAAAAACGGCGCCGCTTGGGAGCTCTTGTTCCGCCGATCAAGTTGCTCGTCTCAAGATGATAGCAATCGCTGCTCAAGTATTGGAGAGGGGAAGGAAGGAGAGGAGAGGTGAATGACGGGGAGGGGAGGAGAAGGGTGAATGACGGGGAGGGGAGGAGAGGAGAGAGAGAGGGAGTGAGGGATTGATGAGAGAGAAAGAGGTGAAACCCTAAAAAGCCATGTATTGGGCTCCTCTCATCATTTGGGCCAAGTTTGGGCATACGTGTAATATAGTATTCGTAACGGGCAAAATAGTGTCCGTTACGAATACTTATTTATTCGTAACGGGCACTAATTTGTCCGTTACAAATACATATGTATTCGTAACAGACACTATTTTGCCCGTTACGAATAAATAAGTATTCGTAACGGACACTATTTTGCCCGTTATGAATAAATAAGTATTCGTAACGAACACTATTTTGCCCGTTACAAATATCTTAATTGTAACGGGCAAAGATTTGCCCGTTACAAATAGCCTGTTACGGATGAGATTTTTTCCACTAGTGAGGAAAATTGTTGCTATATTGATGTAATTGATATAATGGATGATATTTGTGATGATAGCTTGCCACAGGTTCTTGCGAAGGATCCCCTAGAGGATGTTCTCTGCGGGAATTTATCTATAGACAATGCAAGCGTTTGGGGTAATGAGGTACAAGATATTGAAAAAGCTCTTTCCTTAGAAGAGTTAAGCCCCGAGGAAACATTGAAGGTAGTAAATTTAGTTTAGGAATCAAAACTTGCAGAGGTCAAGAAACCTGAGCTAAAACCTCTCCCTTCTCATTTAAAATATATTTTTCTTGATGAACAGGAACTACACCCCGTGATCATCAGTACTGCACTTACTGACCTACAAACTTCCCAACTTCTAGGAGTTCTCAAAACCCATAAGAAAGCTATTGGGTACAGTATTGATGATCTTAAGGGTATTAGCCCTGACTTTTGTATGCATAGGATACATCTAGAGGATAATTACAAGCCCTGCATTCAACCCCAACGAAGATTAAATCCCAACATGCAGGAAGTAGTCGAGAAGGAGGTTATGAAATTACTTGATGTAGGTATTATCTATCCAATTTCTGACTCCAAATGGGTAAGTCCTGTACAGGTAGTGCCAAAGAAAGGTGGGATGATTGTGATAACCAATGAAAAAAATGAATTAATTCCCACTAGAACTGTAACAGGGTGGCGTATGTGCATCGATTATCGTAGATTAAATATAGCCACAAAAAAGGACCACTTCCCTCTCCCCTTTATAGGTCAAATGCTTGAGAGGTTAACCAATCATAAATTCTTTTGCTATTTGGATGGGTATTCGGGATTTTTCCAAATTCCGATTCACCCTGAAGATCAGGAAAAGACTACTTTTACATGCCCTTATGGCACTTTTTCATATCATAGAATGCCCTTTGGTTTATGTAATGCACCCGCTACCTTTCAACGTTGTATGATGAGCATTTTTTCTGATTTCATAGAGTCTATTATGGAGGTCTTTATTGATGATTTTAGCGTATATGGTTCTTCATTTGATTCATGTTTAATTAATCTCGCTAAAATTTTGAAAAGATGTGAAGAGTGCAACTTAGTTCTTAATTGGGAAAAATGTCACTTTACGGTGACAGAGGGAGTAGTACTAGGTCATATTGTATCTGATAAGGGCATACAAGTAGACAAAGCTAAAATATCATTGATTGAGCAATTACCTCCCCTAGTTAATGTTAAGGGAGTTAGAAGTTTCTTGGGTCATGCGGGGTTTTATCGCCGTTTTATCAAAGATTTTTCTAAAATTGCTAAACCACTGACACAGCTTTTGCTCAAGGATGCCCCATTTATTTTTACTGACGAGTGCCTTGAGGCTTTTAACAGGATTAAGCAGGCTTTGATAGCGGCACCCATCATATGTGCTCCTGATTGGAACCTTCCTTTCGAGATCATGTGTGATGCAAGTGACTTTGCGCTAGGAGCCGTGCTTGGATAGAGGAAGGACAAGGTTTTGCATGCTATTTACTATGCTAGAAAAACTTTGGATGAAGCCCAAGTCAACTATGACACTACGGAAAAGGAGTTTCTTGCTGTTATTTATGCTTTAGAAAAATTTAGATCATATCTTGTCGGTTCTAAATTTATTATTTTTACTGATCATGCAGCATTGAAATATTTGATAGCCAAGGCGGAATCAAAGCTAAGGCTACTCCGGTGGGTTCTCTTGCTCCAAGATTTCAACATAGAAATAAAAGATAAAAAGGGAGCAGAGAACGTAGTGGCAGACCACTTGTCACGTATTAGGTATGATGAGGGTAAGGATTCTCTACCTATAGATGATTCTTTCCCTGATGACAACCTATATGCAGTTGTAGAGCAACACCCATGGTATGCGGATTTTGCTAATTGTTTAGTGGGTGGTACTCTACCTCCTGACTTGTCCTACCAACAGAAAAAGAAATTCCTTTCTGATGTTAAACATTATTTTTGGGATGATCCTTTTTTGTTTCGTGAGTGTGCAGATGGATTATTTCGCAGATGTGTTCCCGAATGGGATGCTCATGGCGTTCTTACCGCCTGTCATACCTCACCTTATGGAGGACATCACGGCCCCACTAAAACAGTGGCTAAGATTAGTGAGTCGGGCTTCTATTGGCCTACTATGTTCAAGGATGCTAACACTTTTGTGCAGGCTTGTGACTTTTGCCAGAGGACTGGCAACATTTTGCGGAGGCATGAGATGCCCCAAACCGGGATTCTTGAAGTAGAAATATTCGATGTTTGGGGTATTGATTACATGGGGCCGTTCCCATCTTCCAATGGGAATTGCTACATACTTGTAGCCGTCGATTATGTGTCTAAGTGGGTTGAGGCCATAGCTTCACCAACAAACGGTGCCAAGGTAGTCATCAAGCTCTTCAAGAAGACCATATTTCTGAGGTTTGGTGTTCCACGGGCAATCATTAGTGATGGAGGTACCCACTTCCATGAAAGACAACTGGATAACCTCCTTAAGAAGTATGGCGTATATCACATAACCGGGCTTAGTTACCACCCTCAAACTAGTGGTCAAGTTGAGGTCTCTAATAGGGAAATCAAGGCGATCCTAGAAAAGGTAGTAGCCAAGTCAAGGAAAGATTGGAGTATGAAGCTCGATGACACACTTTGGGCATACCGAACAGCATTCAAGACACCAATTGGTACTTCGCCTTACAGATTAGTCTATGGTAAGGCATGTCATCTTCCCGTGGAATTGGAGTACAAATATTTTTGGGTGATCAAGGAGCTTAACATGGACTCTAAGGTCGCGGGTAAGAGAAGACTCCTCCAACTCAATGAGTTAGATGAGTTTAGATTGTCAGCATATGATAGTGCGCAAATCTACAAGGAGAAGACCAAGAAGTGGCATGACAAGAGGATCTTAGCAAGAGAGTTTGCACCAGGTGATAAGGTTCTTCTCTTCAATTCTAGATTAAAGATTTTCCCAGGAAAGTTGAAGTCTAGGTGGTCCGGTCCCTTCACTGTCACAAGGGTGAACAAATTTGGCTCGGTAGAGTTGGTCAATGACAAGGGTGAAGAGTTTAAGGTAAATGGCCAACAACTAAGGTGTATCATGAGGGCGCTACTAGTAGAGATGTGGAGGAAACCTTCCTAACTCCACTTCCAACCTGAGCATCAAGGTGGTAAGAGGGTCGTGCGGGACCTAGATAAACCAGCGCTTTGCGGGAGGCAACCCGTATTTCTTGCTTTCTAGACTAGTTTTCCTTTTTATTTATTTTTATTTTAATTTTAGAGAGGCGAGGAGAGTGAAATTTTACCGTTTATAAGTGTTTTTGTACAGGTATAGGTTTAAGAGGCCAAAGGACTTAGAAAAATTTGAAGACGAAGAAAAAGCTAAGGAAATCTGACTGGGAACAGGCTCGATCGGGCGGAGCTCGCCCGATCGGACGCGTAAGCAAGGCAAAATTCCAGCCTTAAATTCGCCCGATCGGGCGAGCAAGGAGAGTTGGAAATCGGAGCTTATTTCGCCCGATCGGGCGCGCAAGGGCAGTCAGAAACTCGAGAAAATTTCGCCCGATCGGGTGCAAATCGAGTGAAGGAAAAGGTATGTCGGGCGAGTAAGAGGGCGAAATTTTCGTTCGTGTTCGCGTCCGATCGGGCGCGCAACTATGGTTTTGGAAATCAAGATTATCTGCCCGATCGGGCGCGCCTATTTGGCCGTCCCCTTTATACTTTTCCTCTTCTTTCTTTCCTCACTTTCTTCTTCTTTCATCTTTTTCTCCATTACTTTCTCTCTCTAAAACCTCCATTTTTACACCTTCAAACTCACTTATTTTCAAAGATCTTATCCAATCCTTCTATCAAAACTCAAATTTTTTTGCATATTTTTAATCCTTTCATCTTTCTCTACAATCTAAACCCAATTTATACCATTTTCTCTCGATTTTCTCTAAATCCTAAGAGAGAGAAATTCTTCAATTCCTCCAATTTCTAATCACAATGGCTCTCAAGAGATCAAGAACGGTAAGGGGGGAAAGCTCAAGGCAACAAGAGGCCAGAATTGACCTAGATTTGCAAGTTCCGGGATGGGAGAGGGTGGTCATCACCACCCAAGAACAAAAACAAAGGATGCTCAACCTCATTACGAGGCAGGTAATTCCCACTCGTTTTATTCATCACCTCACCCTTATTAGATTAGGAATTGATAAGAATGTAGAAAAATTGTTCAAGGGAGTTGGTATGAGTGGTTTCTTTAACATGCATTACGATACTTATGATTATTTAACCTTAGAATTCGTTTATAGTTTTAATGTCATAAAATCAAATGCTTTAATTTCTCATGTTCAATTTCGATTATTCAATAATGATGTTAGATTGACATTGAAAGAATTTGGTAAACCTTTTGAGTTGAAATCGGATAGGCCCCTTGAACCGCCCCAAGACAACATTGCCGTTGTCTATCAATCCCTTACGGGGGATCCTAATTTGAACCTCCAACATGCTAAGGGCACTTGGATACAACATCCCGTGCCAAAGATTTGGCAACGGTTTGTTGGCCTTACCATTTTTGGAAGGCATGAACCCGCCAATGTTAGGCGGGATGAGCTTGAATTGCTAGGGTCATACATGATCCCTAGGAGTGAAAAACTCAATATAGTCCACAAAATGGCCACCCACTTCCAACGGGTGGCCAATGCAGCCGAGGCGGGTAGGTCT